ATTTCTATGATAGAATTCTTATGAAGGGAAAAAAAAGAATCAGAATTAAACAAAAAGATAAGTTTGTATATAGAAAACTTGAGATAATGCAGTATATATGCATATGGTATTCTCATTTATACATGTCCAACAATTCCAATAATGATGGACATACAGAGATCATGTTCTGCATATATCATCTCTAGCATCTTTAAGTGTTGATTTTCATCGACGATTTTTAAGATTTTGTTCAAGAATTAAGCATTAAAATGGATCTTTTGTTCAAGATCAAGAGAACATCAAGTCTTATGAATGGTTGTTGCATTACATTACTCAGCCCAGTGGCGTATCTACCTTAATCCAGGGTGGGCACTTCTTCTGTTAGTTATTTATGGGCTAAATTTACATGTTTAGTACATATGCTATTATTGTTGTTCCGTTTTGGTATTCACACTTTATTTTTTTTAAATATATAAATATATATGAATTAATTATGTCAAAAATATATATATATATATATTAGTTTGATTTTATGGCAACGAAAATCAGATGTTACATATAAGAGTATGATAAGGTATATCTTTTTTCTTTGTGTATATGATTGAACCACGTGGTGCAAAGCCTATTCAAAATCTAGAACAAAAGCCATCAATTGAGTGTGCTGAATTTTTAAATTTAAATTTATTTTGAATATTTTTAATTAAAAAAAATCTAGAAAGAAAAATCCCACATGTACCTAACTCATTTTGGTTATGCTGCTTCGTTTATTCATCATCACCAGTTTCAAGTCATCGGTCCAATTCATTGCAAACCATTAAATTTCCCGGAATCACCAACTTTGTGCTTTAACCATTAAATTCGTTTTTAGTTTACATATATACATAATGTATTCCTTTAAAAAAAAATTAACACCTAAACAATTTTTTAAAATGCTTAATATAAAAATAAATATATAAACTATACCTCGAAAAATATTTTAGTGCTTAAATAAATTTTCATTAAAAATATATACTTAACGTTCTAACGTTACACTTTTAAGTTTCTTAACCATAACGACCGTTAAATTTAATCGTTATCTGACACGTATCATGCCAATATAGTTTTAAAAAAATTCTGAATTTTTTAAATAAATATATTATTTAAAAAACTTTTACTTTTTTTTTAAAAAAAAATCAACCAATCGTCCCTTCCCCCTTTCCCATTCTCGTCTCCCAAATGCCGGCCGACAACAACTCATCGCCAGCCAGACCTTGCCTGTTCGGATCTCGGTTCCATCGTCGCTTTCCCGCCTCTGTAAGTTCCTTTTTCAATCGGTCAGACCTCCCCCACTACCACCGATTTTTTAAATCGGTGGTATATCATTCCCCAATGTTTTATTCGGCTTAATCAACATTTGGGTTTAGTTTTAATCGATGTTTGGGTTATTTTAATCGGCATTAAATCTTTTCATTGTTCATAATTGATAAGTTTTTTTTAATAAAAATAATATTTTTATTATTAAAAAATAAAAAAAATAACGATAATCACGTAAAAATTCAATGTTAGACATATATTTTTAGCAAAAATTTATTTAGGAACTAAAATATTTTTCAATACATAATTTAGATACTTATTTTTGCATTAAGCATTTGTTAAAAGGTAAGAAACTTTCTCCTACTTCCATCGAACCGTAACTCAATCAAGATAACTGAAGGAGAAAAGAGTAGTCAAAACTTTATTAACATAACCAAAATTAGCAATATCTGATGCAAAATCAACCAAAAACCAATCCCAAACTTATACCTAGAAGGATCACCTAGAACAAAAGTCTGAAAATGTAACTTAAGAGGAACCGTAACCTACGTAGCAAAACAAAATAGTTCAAGAGCTACAAACATAATTCCAATTATGACCCACGAAACTGCAGCAAAATCCAAGGCAAAGTTTTGAAGAATGCTAACACTCAACTTAAGCTTCGTAAACCCTGCTACCAAATCCAGAAACAGCACTTTGAAACATCTCTTTATTTGCCAAAAAGGCCTTCTGGCCAACACTAACCGTTTAAATTATGTTTTTAGCTTTAATTAAAATTTAATTAAGTTTTTAGCTTTCAGGGTATTACTTATTAAAAATTTAATTAAATTTCTAATCTTTTTATCCAAAAAATCTTTAAGGTTTAAAAAATTAATCAATGTCACTGTTTGTTTGGTGAAAATCATTATTGACCACTCTAATGTTGGTATGTATATTAATGAGGTTGATATGTGAATGATAACGTGATAAAAAATACTAAATTATTTTTAAAAAAAATCAAGGATTTAATCTTTAATTTTTGTTGTACATTGACATTTAGAAAAAAAATATTTAAAATAAAAATATTGTTAAAACATTTAAAACTAAATAAACAAAAATTTTAAAAATGTCAAAAATTATAAAAGGATGAGATACTAAAATATTTTTTTGTAATTACTGTTTGTTTGGTGAAAATCATTATTGACCACTCTAATGTTGGTATGTATATTAATGAGGTTGATATGTGAATGATAACGTGATAAAAAATACTAAATTATTTTTAAAAAAAATCAAGGATTTATAATCTTTAATTTTTGTTGTACATTGACATTTAGAAAAAAAAATATTTAAAATAAAAATATTGTTAAAACATTTAAAACTAAATAAACAAAAATTTTAAAAATGTCAAAAATTATAAAAGGATGAGATACTAAAATATTTTTTTGTAATTTTAATAACATTTTATTTTTAATAATTTTTAATATATAGTTTTCTGAATTTTCATATTTTTATACTTTTTATTTTATATAATTTTAATTTTTTATTTAAAGGATAAATAAATTTGATAATTCTATGAAAATCAATTAAGTATTTAATTTTCTTCAAAAGTATATAAGCTCCTTACATCCTTAATTTTTTTAAATATTTTAAATGATATATGTACGCATCGTCACATTAAACAATTTGTCAAGTTAACATATATTTGTGATTAAAAATATCCATAAACTTTGTAACTAATATCAGTATTCTATTAAATATTAAAATTATGACGATTGAATTATTAAAATATTAATTATATTAAAAATTTATAAATTTATGTACTATTTTATTTTTACACTAAAATAAGTAAACATGTTCATGTGAAATACTAGGGTTATATATGGTATAAGCCTACTTCTCACTTGTTCAAATCCATTTTCAACTTGAAATATAGATTTTAATTTTTACTTAAATTTATCACATTTACAAAAAATTAATTTTAAGTATTAAAAGAATTTTAAAATTATTTGTAATTAAATATTTGATAATTATATATAATTATTAAAAAATTGGACGTATTGTTAGTAAAATTTTAAAAACCATCAGCTTAATACTTTTCTTAATGTTAACATTATTGTATTAATATATTAATAGAGATTTAATTGTTATGCGATATAAAATATTTAACATATAAAATAATATAATATGTTATAAATTTAGAAAATAGTTAGATTTGGACATTGAATGTTAATCTAAGCTTTATTCATATTTAGAATTGATTTAATTTTTTATCTAATTTTTTTATCCTAATATTTTTACTTAAATCCTTCCAAAGTTCAAACAAAACTTTAAACCTTAAATAAAAAAGTATTAATCACAAATGTGAATTCCCTTCCCACATCATCTAATATTGAAGTTAAGATAATTGGATGAATAAAACCGAGTTAAAATTATCTATTTATTTTTATCATAAAAATATTTTAATTTATTATTAAACTAAGGTGATTACAAAGTAATATCTGTTTTAAATGCTCTCTACCATTTGACAGCGAATGCTCAATCACCCTTGCACTTGCTGATGCTCGAACTCATGACCTCTAGGAACAACAACTATTCCTTTAACCATTGAGTTAAGTTGGTTCGTACAATTAAAAAAATTATACACTAAGCTAACATATCCTACCTTTATATATATATATATATATATATATATTCCTTTAAATATCATGGTGGTCCAAATAAAAACATAAAGAAGAGAAAGATCTAGAAAGATGGTCATAATATATAATTGATGCAATGCCACAAAATAGAGAGAATTGTAGTTCCTCACATTTGGGATTCCATGTTTTTTTTTCTTCAATTAATATGGTTGAAAATAACGACAAATGAAATTATATACATATATATATATATATAATGAATTATAACATTCACACAACTGGTATAGAAAATGACATTCAAGTTGATAATGATACTATTTTTATTATTTTTTGTTTTTGATTGGATGAGGATTTTATTAATTTGCGTGCCCTGAATACTGAAATTATTTTAAAAAATATCCATGCTTAACTATTGTTTTAGTCCATTTATTACGCTAAAATTTATGATTTAATCATTAAACTCTAATTTTACATAATTTGATCATCTACTTCTATAATGTTACTAGTGAGTCTAAATTGATAACATTATTAATTGCTGTGGTTAAAGTGGTGATCTTGATCTTTTTTTTCTAAAATTACTTTAAAACGTTTGACAGACCTATATATTTATTATTTATTCATACGTGATTAATTGACTTTATATATCGTCTTAATCGTGTGAGTGAAAAAAATTAAATAAAAATATTTAATACCATCATTTTAACAAAAACAACTATTATGATTATTTTATCAATTTAGATTTATTGTTAACTTTATAGAGTAGAGAATCAAATTATTAGAAACTAGAATAGAATGATCAAGTCCTAAATTTTAGGACAATAGAGGGACTATAACATAAATGTGAAAACAATGAGCTGTAAATTTATAATTGAGCAACAGGTCAACCAATAGTTATACGGCACGTCAATGACCACAAAGGAGGGAATTATGGTAATTCAAAACAACTCAAAGTTCCGTTAGCCCCCTCGCTAAGCGCCATAACAGTAATCTCATCCACTCATGTCACTAATCAAACCAATTTTTTTTTAAGAATTATTAATAATAATAATTCAAATTTTCTCATATAAAAATTAATAATAATTACAAAAAAAATTCCCATAAAACAGCAAGCGCCATTTTCTTTTTCTCCATCATCAGCTCACCCAAATTCTCTTCAAAGTTTGAAAAATATAATCAACAACTCCCTCTCTTCACAAGCTCAGGTACTTATATTATATATATGGATTAATATGTAATTTACTGTTGGTGTATAATTCTACGTACCGACAGTGAACTCGTGATGCTATCGGATAAAAAATTTAGATTTTTGTATGCAATTTTTAAGGTTTAACGAAGTATGAGGACATGATTGTATAGATTCATGAGAGCATCAAATACTTTCCCTATATATAATTGATTGATTTTTCTCAAGTATTCTTTTACTTGTTAATTAGTAGGTTGTCTTTAAAAAACAGAAGAAATCTCTCTAGCAGCAATGAAAGGAGTAGTTTTAAGGACGACACCAGATGTATATAAGCAGAGACTATGGAAAAGAAGCTATTTGGATCGAAATCACAAGGTTGATATTGTTAATGGTAAAAAAGGTTCATTTTTAGGCGTGATGAGGCCAAGTTTTGGTGGTGTCGGAGCTGTCATAACCATTTTTTTTCGTAAAACAATTAAATATTATTTTAAAAACAATTACGACTTTATTTTGGAAAAATTGGTGATTTGTAATTAATTTGAATTAAATTGAATAGAGTCGCCATCGACCTTTGGGTTAGGTAGCCGAATACCTAAAACGTCTTTTAAAACAATTTTAAGAAATCATTTTTAGACAAAAATAGTCTGCGTTTACCAAAGATTCAATTAAAATGGATTCGGGAGTCGGTTACATGTGGGGAAGGATAAACACCCCCACAACGCCCAAAATGGTACTGTCGCTTACACATCGTCGTAAATGGTGGAAATTACAATTTGAATATGAAGTAAAAAAAATGATCCATTTATTGAATATTAGTTATAAATAAAATAAAAAAAATCCTTTTCTCGATAAGAAATCCCGAGATTTGCAATCCTCCGCCGGGAAAGCTACCTCGTCTATTTCTTACTTGTAAAGAATATTTTCTCTTTAAAAAAAAATGACGAAAATTGACATAATGCATCACACTATACTTTTCCAAAGATACATCACTCATATTAAGATTCAATGAAGAAATAATAATAAGATTAAATTTAAATATTAAACAATATGAACATCAAATAAATTAACAACAAAAATAAAATAACAATAAAAATAATTTCTATAAGCTTGTAAAAGGAAGAATTTGCATTTTTTATTCTGTTCGAACGTCGTATCGGATTGTACCACTTCGATCAAGTGATACTTTCCACGCCCGTTCTATAAATATGTGTTCTTGAAATTATTCGAATAATATACAATAGAGAAATACAATGGGAATAAATATAAATAAAATATGCGACATAGAATCTTTACATTAAATAAAACAAACAACATTATTTACATAATACAAATAACCAAAAACAACCATCATATAAAACTGACTACAATAAAAATAAGTAAATATTACAAATTAAGATAAAATGATCAAAAAGCAAGTAAAAAGGACTAGAATAACAACACATAAACTCAAAGAGCCAAAATGGTAAAATCAGGAACTTAAAGGACTACAATGAAAGAAACAGAAAATAAAAATTAAAATAGCAATTTTCAGATAAATCAGAGTCCATACTAAAAAATACTAAATAGCATATGTACGAAGCTAAAAATAAACCCATAAATCATGTACAGGACTAAAATGAAAAAAAAAAACAGGAACATAAGGATTCAACAGCAGTTAAACCAATTTCCACATGATGATTAAATTACAACACTTATAAATGCCGTTCTTTCTAAAACACGGCCGTTTCACACGGGGCATTAAAGCCCTAAAACGAGATTGGCCCTCATTCCCTCATCTCTACTTCTTCCCTTCTTAAAACAGAGAGCCAAAGAATGCTCTCAAAGTTCTCCCTCTCCGCCTCTGTCTCCGCCGTGGAGAGAAAAAAAAAAAAAGGGCCACGGCCGCCGCAGCCAGCGGCGATGGCTTGAGAGATCAAACCACGACCAACCCTCCTCTCTTCCTTAGAACAAATAACCTTTCTCCTACCCCAAGCAAAAAAACCGAAAACCCCTATCCGAAACCCTAGATCCAAAATAAGGGACAGTTTACCTTCAATGCGGCCTTCTCTGTTCTGGCTAGGCTACAACGACGAGGTTTTCTACAAGGGTAAGATCTCCTTCACTTTGTTTTTTTTTTAGCCCTCCCTCTCTTTTCTGGTTATCACCCCTCTTTTCTCTTCTTTTGTCTTTTATCTTTTCTTGCATGTGGATTTCCCTTGAGATCATGATGATATCTAGGTAGATAGCCTTTGATTTCTCTGATTTAGGTGAATAAAATCCCGATTTTTCGGGATTTTCGGGTGTTATTTTAATGGGTTTTTAGATTTGGTAAGTTTAGGCCACTATTCTTTGATTTGGTTACTGTTTTTACAGGGACCGGTCACTGTTTGATGGATGGATTCTTCACAGCTCCGATGACAGCGGCGGTGAGGGAAGCAGCCAGCTTGACCGGCTGGGCAAATGAAGGTCCAACGGCTGTGGCGGCTGAGGCAGAGAAGGGTCACACGGCGGCTGGAAGGGGATTAGGGTTGAAACCCTAAATTGATTTAGGGTTTGAAACCCTAAACTGATTTAGGGTTTGAAACCCTAAACTGATTTAGGGTTTGAAACCCTAAATTGATTTAGGGTTTGAAACCCTAATCTGATGGGTTGTTGGGGACCGGGATTGGGCCAATGTAATCTGAATTGGGCTTAGGGTCTCTGGGCCAAATGGGCTTCGGGTTGTTGGGCCTCTGTAATCTGAATTGGGCTTAGGGATTAGGCCTGCAAAAATTGTAATAATAAATAATAATAAAATAATAATATAATGATAATAATAATAATAATAATAATAAAATAACGGAAAAAAAACCCGGACAAAAACGGGTGTTTACAGGAGCAATTACCAGTCGTGGTATGATGCAAGAATGCTCTTGTTGTTGTTCGTTCCATGGCAATGGAAAGAACATCTCGAGTTCAAGACAAAGGAGGCTTGAGACGCGGGCTGAAGCAATACTTTCACCTATCTCTGATCCTACACCAACTATGCAAAAGGCATAGTTTTCTTCTATTTACATACTTATGTTTTTTACTGTTACATTCTATTATAATTATTAATTTTATTTTCGTATCATATTGATACTGTGTGATTCTCTGCACAGAGAGTATTTACTTTTGGCAAAGGAAGGAGTGAAGGGCATAAGGGCATGAAGTCTCTGGTAAGGATTCTACATCTTAGTTTCATTAAAAACTGAAAATTTAAAGCATGGCTAATGTTCACTAAAATTCCACAGTAGATTTTTTTTAATGCATTATTATGAATTATTGCAAGTTTCAAGATAGGTTAATAATTATGCTTTTGTTGTTTATCTAGTTGGGCGGGAAAGGAGCAAACCTTGCAGAGATGTCCAGCATTGGGCTATCAGTTCCACCTGGACTTACCATATCAACAGAAGCATGCCAGGAGTATCAGCAGAATGGGAAAAAGCTACCAGAAGACATATGGGAGGAGATATTGGAAGGGTTAAAGATTGTGGAACAGGACATGGGTGCCACCCTTGGTGACCCTTCCAAGCCACTTCTCCTCTCGGCTCGTTCCGGTGCTGCGGTAAGGGATTTGAAAAGTTTAAGTCATGCAGTGATCCGATTGGTTCTGGTATCCTAACCAGGGTTTTAAATAGCATTTGCGGTCACGTTTTCGTTCGCGCATTTATCACGGTTACGGATATAACGGATGCTATTACGGTCATTAAGAATATCGCGATGGTGAATTTTTTTTTAGAATGAGCTGATTTTTTTAATAAAAAACATTTTTTTATTAAAAAAAATTAAAATAACGGAATAATAGCAGAATAGCGGTCCGTTGTTGCCGTGATTGGCCACGATATGCCGCTATTGGTGTGATCCCGCTTCACACCGTTACTTTTCGCGATAACGGTTTCGGACACCGCCGCGACTGCTATATAACGGCCGCGATACCGCTATTCGGCCGCTATTTGAAACCCTGATCCTAACAATAAGCAACTTTGGAAGGCTTACTTTTAATTATCAGCAATAAACATAAAACATATTGTCAACTGTCAAGATTGCTTGTCAACTGATATTTGTTACATATGTCAAGATTTCGATGCCTGGTATGATGGACACTGTCCTTAACCTTGGACTGAATGATGAAGTGGTTGCTGGTTTGGCGGCAAAAAGTGGCGATCGTTTCGCTTATGACTCTTATCGACGTTTCCTTGATATGTTTGGAGATGTTGTAAGTGATTCTTCTTCATGAGTTGATGATTAATATCATTACGTTAGCACATCTGAACAAGTGTATCTTCAGCAGAGTTTCTTGTTCAGTTTCTTTCACATGATTTTGGTTGTTGACCTGAACTCAATGAAATACTTGGGCCGAATAGACACAACTCCAGCGACTCATTCGACTTCCTTAAATATTTTCTTCAAGTTAATCGTTATGGTTTCCTGTCAGTGCAATATGGCATAATCTTGTCATATCTATTTCTCTCTATATTGTTCTAAGTTTTGTCAAAACTACTTTTATTGGTAATTTTAGGTGATGGGCATTCCACACTCATTGTTTGAGGAAAAGCTAGAGACAATGAAGGAAGCAAAAGGAGCTAAACTTGACACGGATCTAACTGCAAATGACCTCAAAGAACTCGTTGAACAATACAAGAATGTTTACTTAGAAGCCAAGGGTGAAAGGTTTCCTTCAGGTAGAGGAATGCAACACTGAATTATTTTTCTCACCGTTACTTAGACACTTGCTCTGATGCACATCTAGACTCTTCAACTTAGGAAAATTGAACATGCCTGTTTTCAAACTCACACCCAAGACTGAGTAACTAAGTACTCAAGTGTTGAGTTCATATAAGAGCTCTCCCAAGCTAAGCCCTCAATTATTTTTCATGTACATGGTAAACTAGAAACTTATGATACAACTTTATTTGTAGATCCGAAGCAGCAGTTGTTTTTGTCTGTTAAGGCAGTTTTTGATTCTTGGGACAGTCCAAGAGCCAATAAGTATAGAAGCATCAATCAGATAACTGGTTTAAAGGGAACTGCAGTGAACATTCAGACAATGGTGTTTGGTAACATGGGAAATACTTCAGGGACCGGGGTTTTATTCACTAGAAATCCTAGCACCGGTGAGAAAAAGCTATACGGGGAATTCCTCGTAAATGCTCAGGTAGTAAACATGTATCAAAATTCATATCTCCGCAGAGCTTCCTCATATTTTCCATATTGGTATGATGAGTGTAAGACTGATTTTGTGATAATTAATGAATGTCAATGATGTATCACTCTTGAAAAGGGAGAAGATGTTGTTGCTGGAATTAGAACACCATAAGACTTGGACACCATGAAAAGCTACATGCCTGAAGCTTACAAGGAGCTGGTTGAGAACTGTGAGATTCTTGAGCGGCATTACAAAGATATGATGGTATAATTTCTCTCTTCCGTACTAGATATGGTCTCATCATGTTTTTATATTAACAACTTCATTGGTTTTGAGTTGTTCCCATTTTGGTTATCACTCTTGAACCTACGCAGAAGAATCAGTTCTGGGCACTTACACTTTTTTCCGAAATGCAGGACATTGAATTCACAGTTCAAGAAAATAGATTATGGATGCTGCAATGTCGATCTGGAAAGCGTACCGGTAAAGGTGCAGTTAAGATTGCTGTAGACATGGTTAATGAAGGGCTAGTTGATAAACATGCTGCAATTAAGATGGTGGAACCACAGCATCTAGACCAAATTCTTCATCCACAGGTATGCACACTGTAACGTTAAATATCATGGAAAAGTACGCTTCTTAGTTTTATTTGTAAACTTGATTGAAGTATGGTTCCAAAGGCTTATAGAACTTTCTTTACTTTGGCATTCATAACAATCCATAGAAGACTATAGAATCATAAGGATGTAGCATACACATTCATCAAATGATTATCATATTCATTTTCAATATGTTTTAGTTATTTGATAGATACTGGGATGAAATGATTAACATTGTGCTTTTTTTTCATTTAGTTTGAGGATCCATCTGCTTACAAAGACAAAGTGGTTGCCATGGGCTTACCGGCTTCCCCTGGAGCAGCTGTTGGGCAGGTTGTGTTCACAGCAGATGACGCTGAAGAGTGGCGTGCACAAGGAAAAAGTGTTATCTTGGTATGTTTATGTTCATGTCCATTTATACATTTTCCTTCTCATTCTACTATATTCTGGACTAAAAGATGTATTAAAGTATAATTTTGAGAAAAATATATGACTTGTTTAGAGGGGCAATCCATTTAGATGTTTAAAATACCAAACTATTCTGTTCTAACGCATTTTGAGTAATAAAACCGTGTCATATGCAGCTAAAATTATCTTTTTCTATAATCTGACAGACTTGACACTCATGATTTTGCATTCTTATAGGTAAGGACTGAAACCAGTCCGGACGATGTTGGAGGTATGCATGCGGCAGCAGGGATTTTGACGGCTAGGGGTGGAATGACATCTCATGCAGCTGTTGTAGCACGTGGATGGGGAAAGTGCTGTGTTTCTGGCTGTTCCGATATTCGTGTGTACAATGCTGAGAAGGTAATTTTACTCTTCCATCTCCTCTAAATTGCCTTTCTTCATGAAATGGTGTCCACTATATGTGCTACTATGTCTACAGTGCAGGTTCTCTCAGTTGGAGGAGTAGAAATCCAAGAAGGAGAATGGCTTTCACTCAATGGCTCTACTGGTGAAGTGATTCTCGGAAAACAGTCGCTTTATCCTCCAGCATTAAGTGGTGATTTAGAAACCTTCATGTCTTGGGCTGACCAAGTTAGGCACATCAAGGTTCTATATGTATTTTTAGCTGGTCAAGGATTTGTATTATGTACTCGAGTATTCTGAAGGTCTCTTAACTGATTAAGCCTTATATTTTTCTGATAGGTAATGGCAAATGCTGACACACCAGAAGATGCATTGACAGCAAGAAATAATGGTGCTCAAGGGATTGGCCTTTGCAGGACAGAACACATGGTAACTTTTCTTTCATCATACTCCTTGACTTTGCAAGTTCTTTAATCATCCGCAACATAAATAGAAGTTCCATGCAAAATTGATGATTCATTATATAGTACAAAGGGACTCCATCAGTTCATTTTCTGTCCTAAAGACTCGTTGTTTTTTTGAATCCCTCAGTTCTTTGCTTCAGATGAGAGAATAAAGGCTGTGAGAAAGATGATAATGGCAGTAACCCCTGAACAAAGGAAAGCGGCCCTTGACATCTTACTTCCTTATCAAAGATCAGATTTCGAGGGAATTTTCCGTGCAATGGATGGTACTTTCCTCATCTTCTGTTCATTTTGTGACTAGGAGTCTGAAAAACTCACTGGCATTATACCAACCTGGTTGGAACTTTACTGGTGTGTTGAATTCGCATAGGATACCCTATTTCCTTCTTTCGGTTTGCCTCTATTGATGAATGTGAATTTCATTTGAACTTCAGGCCTTCCGGTAACAATCCGATTGTTAGACCCTCCACTTCATGAGTTTCTTCCAGAGGGAGACTTGGAAGAGATAGTGAGTGAATTAACTTCAGAGGCAGGCACAACTGAAGATGAAGTTTTCTCAAGAATTGAAAAGTTATCAGAAGTGAATCCCATGCTTGGTTTCCGAGGCTGCAGGTATTCCTTTTGATCATCTTTAATCCATTTAAGAATGTTATTAGAAAACTAATAATGGTAAAAATCTAGTTTTATTTACCAAGGAATCATAATAGATATACAAAAATACTAAGTCTAGATTAAAAAACATGAAGTAAATATTTAACTTGTAACCAAGAATAAATTACAATAATATAAAATATTTAATTTAATTTAATTTTAGCCTGTAACACTCCCCTGAAGCTATAACATAAATATTAATCATATTCAGTTTGTTACACAAATAAAAAACTCGATTTCTATTCAACGTCTTTATGAATAAATCAACAATATGCTCTTATGTCTTCACACAACCAGTAAATATTATGTTGCCTAGAATCTTTTCACGAATGAAGTGACAATCAATCTCCATATATTTGATTCTTTTGTGATAAACTGGATTTGGGGCAATATGGAAAGTTATTTGGTTGTCACACCAAAGATTGGTTGTGATTTAGGACTTTTAAATGTTTTGGGTGCGAACGTAAACCGATTAACTGTGCTTACTGCAAATGCAACGTTTGGATGCATTATGATAAAAAAAAATAATTTCCCAACTATCCTTCTATACCTCTCAGGATCTTCAAAATGAAAATCATCTTTCATAGGATATTCGTTAGAAATCATAGTACTACAAGGTTTTATTGTCATTTTTCTAGTTTCTGCAAGTAAATAAGGGACATACTTTCTTGGAAATAGATATATACCCTTCTTATTTCTCATTACTTCTACTCCCAAAAAGTATTTCAACTGGTCTAAATCTTTCATGTGAAACTGAGTTTGCAAGAAAGATTTAAGAGACGCAATTTTTGCTCCATTTCTTGAGTAAACAAACCTTTTCATTTTCCCCTGAGCAACAAACCCATGTGATATATACACTTCTTACTAAAGATCACTATGAAAGAAAAAAAAAACATTATGGATATCTAATTGATACTAGGGCCAATGATCAGTAACTACTACAGAGAAACAAATGAACATATGAAATTTTGGGCATGAAAAAGAAGATATTCAAATAATTCAACCCATAAGATTGAGCGTAGCCTTTCCCTACAAGTCAGGTTTTAAGTCGAACCACCAATCCATCTAGATTTGTTTTGACAATAACCATTTACATCCAACAACCTTCTTTCTTGGAGACAAATCGTCTAGATCCTTTGTATGATTCATCAAGAATCAATATTTCCTCAAGCATAACATCTTACCAGCCAAGATTGAATAAAGCTACTTTCACTGTCTTAGGAATGAAAATAGTCTGAAGAGACAAGAAAGGCCTGAGAGGAAGAAGATAATTGATCATAGTAAACAAAATTGGTAATAGAATAAAGATCAAATGTCGAAGGAGCTGACCTAGGACATTTATCATCAGTCTTACGTCGCCATTTGTTATCAGGACATGTAGTATCAGTCTCTCTTTGTAAGAACAATAATTGTTTTGTTCCGTATGAGATCCACCATTATTATCCTCAAGTTGATGTATAGAAGTACTATTTAACTGATAAATGAATCACTCGTCATCTTATCTTGAGTTAGAAGGTGCAAATAATGAAGGAAGCACATAAAAGTACCAAATGGAGCATAGGTTGAATTTGGATAATCGTAGAAGCATACATACATACATATAATCATCATTAACATGGATTCTGATTTTCTATCAACAGGCTGGGGGTATCATATCCTGAACTAACTGAGATGCAGGCCCGTGCCATCTTTCAGGCTGCCGTCTCAATGAGCAACCAAGGGGTTAAAGTTCTTCCTGAGATAATGGTTCCCCTTGTTGGAACTCCCCAGGCATGATCTTTCTTTTGATGTTTTCCATATCTTCTATACTTAGTATTGTTTTAATCATTTCGATCTAAAACATTGTTGCTGTTAGTAAAATGAGCTTATAATTCATCTGTCCCTGCTGATTTTAGTTTCTAGACATCCGAATTGATTAAATACTAAAAGCATCATTGATCTTTCAGAGAATTGACACTTAATAAGTTGCAGGAACTTGGTCATCAAGTCGGTTTAATACGGAGTATTGCAAAGAAAGTGTATTCTGAGATGGGTTCTATCTTAAGCTACAAGGTGGGGACAATGATTGAAATACCCAGAGCTGCCTTAGTTGCTGATGAGGTACGCTAAACAACCTATAGTTTTACCCCCTATGTTACCGAACTCTTTGTTTTTCCTAGAATGATCGTACCGGAAACTCTTCCGTATCCGAGTAACATAGCTTTGTGTAAACTCCGGGATAGTGGCGGTTTGTATATTTTCCTTGCCTTCAAAGTTCAAACTCTGGCATGGGATGAAAATTGATTTTATTTGTACTTTCTACTAGGAGAAGCATTTTCAGATACGCATTTCAGTAAAAGATTGATATATATATATGTAGTCATGAACTATGACAACTATGCCTAACATTTCAAACGTTTGATAATGGTAGATTGCAAAGGAAGCTGAATTATTCTCTTTCGGGACCAATGATCTTACACAAATGACATTCGGGTATAGTCGAGATGATGTTGGAAAATTTCTCCCCATATATCTATCCAAAGGCATTCTGCAAAGTGACCCCTTTGAGGTCAGTCAATAGTATTTGAATGTTCATAAGCTTTCTGAAGAAACAAACATGGCAATTACAAAATCAAAGAAGATTTCATAATAACAATTGGATCCTTTGCCAGGTTCTTGATCAGAAAGGTGTAGGCCAACTCATCAAATTCGCCACGGAAAAGGGTCGCCAAGCTAGGCCAAGTTTGAAGGCAAGTATACCTGATAATAATCCATTAACTTAAAAAAAAAAAAGGGCATTCATCCGTAAATTTAGATGTCAAGCAGATTGAATGTCAGCCTATGTGAATATATTTAGGAACTGGTTTCGAAACATTTTCTTCTGGGAATAATACAATGATGATGAACAGGTTGGAATTTGTGGAGAGCATGGAGGGGAGCCTTCTTCTGTTGCATTCTTTGCAGAAGCTGGATTGGACTATGTTTCATGTTCTCCATTCAGGTTAGATAGCTTCTTATAATACTTCTCTATTACAAATATAGAGGGACAAGGGATTTTATGTTAGGGGATGAACTTATAAAATTTTAGAGTGCCAAAACAGATTACAATAGAAAATATTTAAATTAGATAGAATTTAAAAATTTCAGGTGGCAATCGCCCCCTGTAGTCCTTCAGTCCATCCCTGATTGTACTGTGATATTTAGCTTTTTATAATAACTGGATCAAATTCCTTATGCAGGGTTCCAATTGCAAGGCTAGCAGCAGCTCAAGTTGCCATATGACAGGATCTGGAAATCACCCCAAGCAACTCCATTATCAGATGCTCCTGCAACTGTTGTGCTATTTGCAAAATGTAAATAAATTTCATACAAAATATTTTATAGAATAAGCAGATTGCTGTCATGTATAAGCCTACAAAAGAAATACTACAATGAACATTGACTATACAAAGTGTAAATATTGAATAAGACTCGCCTCCTCATATGTCATCGAGATAGAGTTGAAACCTTTGATTATTACAGGAAATTTTATGGGCATGCATGCAAGGCCTTTTCTTGTTGTTTTTATAGTTCTTGTTTACACCTTTTATTGTTTGAATTACTGTTCGTTAATATTGAATTATTATTTTTTATCATTAATGTATATAAATAAATGATTTATTTTTTAATTGTTAAGTAGTGATTCAGCGTGGATATGTGGTCTTCCCAGTTTCAATTTTTTTTTAATTAATGTCTACAAATTTCGTTGCATGAATTTTAAAATCACAAGGTTCTTATGGATAATATTTGGAAGAATTGTTGGGAAGATTGGTATGTCTGCCTTAGATTTAGAGATAACCATTCAAGAGTCAAGACCATAGTGTTAAATTGTGGCCACGAAGCAGTATAATGGCCGTATCGTAACATTTTTCGCGATACATATTTGTGTGTCATGGTCAAGACCATGAGCCATGCGCTGGTGAGGTCCAGATAAATAGTTGTTTACTGTTTCCTATTGAATTGGTTATCTAGCAACTGGTTTAAGTTGAGAGGCACATATTCGTGTGGACATTGTATGTGTCTAGCTATTGATCATGGTTCTTTTATTCTAAATAACTGGTCGATAGCACTGTTTATTCGCGGATTTCTACTTCCTATTATCCATTATACAAGTCAGTTAAAACTAGAGATTACCCCTACATAGTACTACTTGACTGGTGTCTAGGTTTTGTTGCTTCTGTGGAATCTTATGGTTCTTCAAGCAAGGAGTCGAAAAAGTCCAATGGGATGTTGAACACGTTTCACTTGACTTTTGAAGTGAATTCTAGCAGTTATGTTGTTTCCCTAGAGTTATTTACGCAACCAATCTTGTAGCCAGTCAATCTTCTTAAATCATGTTGTTCTGACATGGACATGGGATTATAGCCCTCCAAATATATCTTATACATACACGGTGTTCAAGTTACATAGGTTCATAATTCCCATCCTTGTGCAGTTTGGGCAGGTTTTCCCAGGAGAATCCACCATGGAAACAAGTTTGTCGTCTGCACCGTAACAGATGATCAGATCATCGAGGAGGGAAAGTGCTTCCAATGGATTCTTTGAGGAAGAAAAAAGGGTGTATCTTCTTCCAACCTCTTGGACTCCATTGTTTCCCGATGAGTGATTAAAGGAATCAAAGGACCATACAAACTTTCACCATAGAACCTTAACATTATTTTGGTTCAATGGTCCAAATAATTGAATACTGATGTAAACATGTGGCAAACAGCTTCTACCTAACCAGGGACCCCTTTTCGGGGTGACAAATTGAATTATTTATTAGCTTTTTTTTCTCTAATTAGCATCTTCTGTAATTGTAATGGTCATATTCACAATAATGATCGTCTCTTTTTTGCTAGGGATATTTTGTTTTACATACAAAGTCAACAAGTAGGGGCGGATGCACTAAGACCCTAGGGGTCAAGTGAATCCCATTATTTAAAAAAAAAGAAATTTAGAAAATTAAAATTTTAGACCCCTATTCATAAATTTTTAGATCCGTTACTGTCAACCAGATACATATAAAAGATGCCCCAAATCAAGGATTAAAAACTCATGGGGCCGTTCATTTTCAGAGGACAACTAACACATTAATACCAAATATGACCATGGGTAAGCCATGTATCTTCTGCCCTACTTTGTACATCCATTTTCTTTCGCGACTGTCTAGTTTCTTTGGCATTTATGTACGTATGCATATCCGATCGATACAAGTATATCCGATTATTCTATTCAGGTTCTCAGTACATAATATGTACCGATTAGAGACAATGACATAAATCTTGGTTTCATATAATTGGTAGCAGTTGATTTAGCTTTGTCGTGTTGTTGAAGGAGCTCAACAATCTTTGCGCCATTTTCAACTCCCGCCACATTACTTGACGGAGCAGTTGGGGATCTTTCGTCTCTTTAACTATTTTTTCAAGTCCTTTTTTGCAACCACATTTCGAGTTTTCTCCGATGCAGACCGGAAAGATTCGAGAGTTCTTTTGCAGTGATCAGGGGTCTTCCATGTTGAGGATTCTGAGAAGAAAACTACGGCATCTTTGCTCGAGAATACAGCGGCTGATGCGGAAGCGACCGAGGACGAAGGTCATCATCCGAAGGCTTGGGAGGTTGAACTCGAAAGTTCATCGAAAAGGAGATGTTGGAACCAAAATTTCCAACATTGATTTATATGGCAACTTGGGATTTTGCAATCCTAAAAGACCAATAAGAATTGCAACTTTTAATGTTGCTATGTTCTCTCTTGCACCAGCCATTTCAGAAGCTGACGAAGCTGGTTTATTTAGCTATGGAGATGATGATTATATCGGTTTCAAAGCTCCGCTTGAGTTCGGTATTCATAACAAGTCTCCGAATCATTATCCGAAGAGTATACTCAAGCAATCTCCCCTGCATAACTCCCACAAGCAAAACAAGCTCTCCAGATCAAACCTCAAGGTTTCAATCAACCTTCCTGATAATGAGATTTCATTGGCACGGAGTAAATTTCTAAGCTTCATCGAGGACGTAAACGAGGGCACATCAGACTCAATCACTAACAGAATCAATCGGGGGAATGTAATTATGAGATCGCCCGTTTGTTTGCCTGCGAATATGATCAAATTCTGGAATGAAGGGGGCTCAAAAAACGGCAGAAGCATTGCAGAAGTGCTTAGGGAGCTTAATGCTGATATCTTAGCTTTGCAAGATGTGAAAGCAAATGAAGAAGAAGGGATGAAGCCATTATCTGATTTAGCTTCAGCACTCAAAATGAAGTACGTTTTTGCCGAAAGTTGGGCTCCGGAATACGGAAATGCGATCCTCTCGAAATGGCCAATCAAACAATGGACCGTACAAAAGATAGCCGACGACAACGATTTCAGGAATGTGCTCAGGGCCACCATTGATGTACCATGGGCTGGAGATGTGAACTTCTATTGCACCCAACTTGATCATTTAGATGAAAACTGGAGAATGAAGCAAATCAAAGCAATAATTGAATCAAACAGCTCTCCTCACTTATTACTTGGAGGTTTAAACTCTCTTAATGCATCAGATTACTCGTCAGAAAGATGGACAGATATTATCAAGGTAATATTTCTCGGTTTTCGATGTTACTCAAACTCTTGATTTTATTTTAAAAACTTGTATCCGACACTAACCCGGATTTTGGGATGTCGATATTGCAGTACTACGAGGACATAGGCAAACCAAGACCAAGAACTGAAGTCATGAAGTTGCTGAGGGGAAAAGAGTATGTAGATTCCAAAGACTATGCTGGTGAATGTGAACCGGTGGTCATCATTGCCAAAGGCCAAAGTAATATGATCAGATCACAATTCATTTTTTTGCCATTTTTCTTTCGCTTTTCAGATTTTTTTAACAGTTTCGAGTTCGATTTACAGATGTTCAGGGAACCTGCAAATATGGGACACGAGTCGATTACATTTTAGCATCACCGAACTCTCCGTATACCTTTCTTCCCGGATCGTACTCTGTGATTTCATCAAAAGGTACTTCGGATCACCATATTGTTAAGGTCGATATTGTGAAAGAAAGTGAGAAATCTCAGAAAAATGTCATAAAAAAGCATATGAATGTTGCCCAAAAGCTAGTATGTTTAACGAACTGAAGATGCTTTAGAAGCATTTGGAACATAAATGCTTGATGTTTTATTTCTCTTTCTTATTAATTTTCTTACATTGTCATGTATGAGACAAATAAACTGCATGTATATCAGTATTTATGTCTGATTTCGACCATATTTCTCTGAAATTAATGTAAGATATAGATTAAGCTTGCATTTTTAACGAGCTTTCATTTTTTTTTCTTTTGGTTTCGTGCTAAAAAGTGAGTATTAAATATAAATATGTTTTTAATTTTAATAATATTATTTTATTAAGAAATAATTATAATTCCATCAATTAGGTGCTAACTCAGTACTATTGCCGTTGAATATTCTTAGCTAATTACTTAAGGGTTTGGAATTTAAGATTATTTTTTTAGAAATATAAAAAAATATAATCACGTGTCTATATTTTTAAATATATATCAAATATAAATATTAAATACAAATATTTATGGAGAACGAAAAAAAAAACAATTTCAGACACTTTACTATCTAATATATTTACTAAGTCATTTGGTTGGTAAACAACCAGAGGCTAAACGGCATGGGTCAACCATTGTACATAATAATAAAGCCAAGTGTTAGAAAGGTCTAATAAGCATTACGATTCATTTTCTACGATGACGATGTCAACGATGACTATGATAATGATTAAAATGACAAATATTAATTGCGATAAAATTAGGTATGGCATGAAAAAATATTAAAATATAATAGTAAAATAATATGAATATTTAAAATATATATAATATTAACACTCATTTATTAAATTTATATAAATATAAAATAATTTTAAAAACTTTAAACAGTTATTTACCTAACCGTGGGAAGAAATTGAGATTTTAAATTGAAGATGATAAGCAGGAAGTGATTGCAGAGTTTGCTAAGCTAGATGGATTTTAATTGATGTCGTTCATTGATGTTAGTTCATGTCTTGCCTAAATAGTTTTGATTGTAATGCTTTAGGTTTCGGATTGTGAGGTGTGTCGTAGAAAGAATTAGAATTTATTTAGGAAAAAAAGGGGAAAAAAGAGTTAAGTGCTTAATTTGGATTAGATATCACAATTATTTAACTTTTTTCTTCTTTTTTTACCAAATTGACATTCATTACCTTAATTATCTATTCTAAAGATTTTTCAAGCCCATTAAATTTACTTATATTTAAGGATAATGTGTAACCTTATAAATTCTTCAAAAGTATATATCCCAAAATCTTTACAACACACCCTCCTACAAAATAAATACAAATGAAGCACACTAAATAAAAGCACTACTAAGTAAATGTGTGTGCACAAAATTAAATTCTCATCCAATGAACATTTGAGCAATATTGACAATAAAGCTCAAAAGTTTCTAACAATGAAAATTGTAACAATTAAGCTATAGAACTCTTTGTCGTTAGGATTACGTGTATTAATATATGGATTGATATGTTAAATCTAGTTATATTTTTCAGACTAGATGTCGAAATTCGATACAAATTATGTATTTCTTTTCAAATATTTGAAATGATTATAAAGTAATATATATTCATAATTTCTTAATCATTGACAACATATACTTCTTTTAACATTTCTTGTTGAATTCGATACAAATTATGTATTCAAAAAAAAACCTCATTATAATTTGAAAACTAAAATACAACGGTAAATAAAAAGGTTGTTGACCATATGTAGAAATTACTCAATCTCAATCTACAAATTAACCAGGAAGAAGCAAATTGGTCTTATTTGAAGAATGTTCAATGGAAGGGTACCCTAGGCCATGGCGTTTGTTAGGGAAACACATGAAGGCCATTGAAACTATGAGTGTAACCAGAGGCAATACAGTTAGGCAGATTAAAGCATTGGAACTCGTCGACAAAGATGGATAAAAACACTTCACGGTACTGGGTTCTAAAAGGACTAAAACCGTGAAGACGATAGACGAAAAGAAAGCGTGAACGAAGTCGCTAAACCGGAGTTTATAGCTCGACGAGTTCACCGATTCCGACGGCAGCGGTGGCGGCCAAAGACCCTTGAATGTTGCTATCCCGTAACGAGTTTTACCGTGGCCGTCTCTGTAACTGTCGGTAAAGCAGCTGAAAACGCATGAGAAGCCGCAAAGGAAAATGAGAATGGTGGTTGAGTACTTGTTAAGTGGAGTTTTGCAGTTGCCATAGTCAGTGAAAATAGGGTTTAAGAAGTTGAAAATGAAGACAGTACCTGTCGGAAGGAACTTGACGAAGTTGCCCATTTTGGAACATAAAAAATGGATTGCCATGTTTGTTTTTCCTTCTTTTTTTCTCTTTTTCTTTCAGCATATGCAGTGTTACAAGATTTTCGTTTGTGTGTATTTATAGGGAGAATCTGAATAACTTGTTAAAAAATAATTAAATTTAAGAGTATATATGTATTTGAACCCAAATCTGTAAATCCATCTAGATTAAACATAGTTCAAATTTGATCTAATCCGATTTGATCATTAGAGCTTATCTATCTCAAACCTGAAAATGACTTGAACAAGACATGATATAATCCTAAAATAACCTAAACCCAAAATGAATCTAACTTAAAATAATCCAAATCTACACCCGAAACCAACTTTTGAACTTGAACAAGAACCATAAATGACCCAATAAGAAGAATAAGATTGATAAACTTAAATGACTCAAACCCAAAATGATATAAGTTCGAAAAATTCATACGCAAATGACCTAATTATGGATAAAGAGAGTGTTGTTCTCTATTGAAGTCCTGGATTCGAGTAGTTATATCTTTAGGGTATGTATGTTACCAATAATTAAGAAATATTATAAACAAATATTATTTTATAATCACTCCATACATTAAAGAAAAACTCAATTCAAAAGTGACCCGCACACCTAATTTTCAACACCTAATTTACAACTCTTAAGTAAAATTGGATGAACAATATATAGATAGAAAGGATTGCTTCCACGTAAAATTCAATGATATATTAGAAGAGATACATACGTATAGGGATAAATGATGGATAATAATATAGTTAGAAACGTATCACTTTGCATTTAGCTTAAAATTGAAAATTTCTTAGATTATTTAGCAAGTATTCGTTTTCGAGAATAACTAACCCACAGGATCTTTCCTTCCTCTTGTTGTTGGACACCACCCCTTGCCATTGCTATTAACTTCATCACACATTTTCTTGGGGATTTTCAAACACTATTTTAGAACACACGACATTGTAAGTAATAGTTCTATTATGGTTGGAATGTTACTATTTCTGGCTTGTAATTTTTTTAAGATTTGTTTTTGTGTTGAGGCAAAGTGGTAAATATAGCATTCGTATGTACAAGGAAACTAGGTTTTGTTAGAGTTCTCCTGTTGTACGTTTAAGTGCATTGCTTATTTGTAACAATCTTGAATTTTTTTTGCTTAAAAGAGAAGGTGATTAGGAGATTCGAATGTTTATGAAACGATGTATATTATCTGGATGATATTATGAACATATAGTAGCTGATTCTACATGCCTACAAAAGGTTTTCACGTCCTCCATATTCAATATTGTTGATAAGAAAATGAGGTTACGGTGGTGTTTGACAGCTCACCCCTTTTGGTTTGGATTGATAGTCATAAATGATGGTGGTGAAAGAGGTAGAGAGTAGATGAATTGAGGAAGATGATGAATAGTTTCTAAGATCCCTAGAGAGAGAGTCCTCTCCAATCTTGTATGGTGGTTTATACACAATCGCTTAGTATTAGTTTCAGACCTAGGATAATGATAGTTATTACAAATAGATATAGCTTTCATATAATAGATTTGACTCTGACAAATCATGTGAGCATGTTAGTGATCACGTTGAGACGATATAAAACTCCGAAAATTTTAGTATTTAATATACTAAGGAACGTCTAAATGCATTTGTTATTGAAAAATTATATAGCGAATTTTTTGTCATGCAGATATAATCCAACTACGTAAACAATTTATCACTTCTCGTCTACTTTCCTTTTTATTGGTCTTGTTTGTTCCGTTAGACTCTCATAATCCATTATTACAACAGTTTGTTAAATATTAGAGATGAACAGTCACGTAACCAAATATTTTCATACAACTTAGTGCATATAATGATTGTACATGCCACTTTTATAAGCACTCTTCCCCTCTTGAATTCAATAAGCTATTTTCTTACAATTTGAACCAGAAATAATACCCGACTTTCCAATATTAATTAATCGATTTTAAGCACTACGATAATCATGTATTATAGAGCTCAAATTTCATTTGTTAACGTTTAAGAGTTAAAAAATAAATATATAAGTTTATAGTAATATATAATAAAAATAACATATTTAAAAAAAATAAAGAATAAAATAATAGCGGTGAAAATTCAGGCATTATGGTCCGACGGTAAATAAAAACACTAACGAAGAAGGAGAAGATGAAAGTGAGCGAAAGTTGAGTTTAAGAAAACTAAAGTTTTAGAATTTTGTTTAAACTATGAAAAATATATCTGAGTTATAACTAATTAGAAAAATAAATTTAATTATTGAATGATATTACTAAATCATATCACTTAATGAATAGATATGTTTATGTCATTTGGTAAATAGACTAATTAATCTTTAATTTAAAGTTGTATCCTTCCGGTCATATCAATTATTAACAATTCTCTTCGTAAAATGTCAAGTCTCTTCGTTAAATAGTCTTAATCATTCAATTTATTTTCTCTCCATTATATAAAAGCTAGTTGAGATATAATTTAGATACAACTTTAAAAAAATAGATTTAAAAAAATTCCTTCCAAATTAGTAAAATCTAACAAATTCAAGAAATTTTAACTATTTTTTTTAATAGTCTAGGTTAATTACAAGATAATATTTATTCATAATTTTTCTTAACCATTGAAAACGCACACACATCCTGCAGATACAACATAACCCATGACCTCAATGGAGAATAACACTATCTTTGGTCACTATGGACATTGTAACTCTCTATATCTGATTCTAGACGATATGACCAAATCTCGAAGATAACACTATTAGAAATTCATAAATATATAACATTCATGTATGAATTATCAACCGTTCACAATGAATTATAAAATAAGTCAATAATAATAGACAATCCGTGATTATCTAATAATAAATCCTTGTACTAAAAAAATAACACATGTCAAAACATAGTTAAAAATCACATATTGATGATATTCAAAAGTCCAGATAAATAATAAATCTCAAATCTGGTAAAAGTATAAAATATAAAAATAGTCTGAAAATATTCATACCGTATAAAATAAAATAACGCTAATCAATTCTCGAAGTACCATAACGATCTTATCGATCACAAAAATCTAAAAAAAAGAAAGAAAGAAAATTAAAAAATGAGCTATAAAGTCAATGTATACTCTAAATCCATGGCAAAAGTTCCCATATAATGCTACAGGGAATTTTTAATTCCCAAATTAAAGTGTTCATCCGATTAATTCCTCAAATGGGGTATTTTCTACAGTAAATTTGGGATATCTCGGCGTCTTCAGGGTTAACCAATTTTTTAGTGGGATCTCCCGGCGTCTTCAGGGTGTTGGATTATTTGTGTTTTCTACGGTATATTTAGGATTTCTCGGCGTCTTCAGGGTGAACCAGATTTTTTTTACTCCTTGCTTGGATCTCTAGGCGTCTTTACTTTAAATCCATGAAAAAATTTGGCCTTTTTACACAAATATCACCTTAACATAAATTAATTACTTGTTAGGCAATGTTTAAGAATATTTTACAGATCAAGCAAATTTTTAAATAATTTCTATAAAATTAATCATATTTTGTTAGTATTTTATTTAATTATTGTATTATTTAATTTTTTTATTTTTTTATTTAATTATTTTATTTTTTTACAGTTATAAAATAGAAAGTGGTCCTTGAATAATTATATTCGGATTTTTCGGCTTTTAAACTTTTCTCTCGGCTGTAAATACGCTCTCAACCTGTAAACATTCACATCAATCCTCTAAACTAGAAGAATGTCGTTGCTTCAGTATAGATATCCACGTGTTGAGAGCGTATTTATAGCCGAGAGAAAAGTTTAAAAGCCGAGAAATCCGAATATAATTATTCAAGGACCACTTTCTATTTTATAACTGTAAAAAAATAAAATAATTAAATAAAATAATAAAAAAAATTAAATAATACAATAATTAAATAAAATACTAACAAAATATGATTAATTTTATAGAAATTATTTAAAAATTTGCTTGATCTGTAAAATATTCTTAAACAGTGCCTAACAAGTAATTAATTTATGTTAAGGTGATATTTGTGTAAAAAGGCCAAATTTTTTCATGGATTTAAAGTAAAGACGCCTAGAGATCCAAGCAAGGAGTAAAAAAATCTGGTTCACCCTGAAGACGCCGAGAAATCCTAAATATATCGTAGAAAACACAAATAATCCAACACCCTGAAGACGCCGGGAGATCCCACTAAAAAATTAGTTAACCCTGAAGACGCCGAGATATCCCAAATTTACTGTAGAAAATACCCCATTTGAGGAATTAATCGGATGAACACTTTAATTTGGGAATTAAAAATTCCCTGTAGCATTATATGAGAATTTTTGCCCTAAATCCATATCACTCATCAAAAAATCATTGCACATCATTCAAACATTACACGGTATTCAACAAAATAATTAAGGCACATATATAAAATCGGTTCAAACCTTTAAATCGACGGGATCAGCGATGCGTTTCGTGCCCTCTGATGACTGGAATCTTATCAAAAACTCCAAATTTTTATTTTAAAGTTTGATGAGTCTGTTACCATGGCCAGTTTATGGCGAAGAGCTGCGGTGATGCGAGTTTAGCAAAACTTGAAATAGTAGTTCCTCCCGATTGATGACGATGGCAAAAATTCATTTAAGTTCATTTGATTAAAACGAGGTTTAAATTCATGATTTAATTGAGAAACAAAAAGGTAAAATGGAAGTTTAAGGACTAAATTAAAAAGGAGACCAAATGTTAAAGCTTTTCATGGTGAATATCCCAATGGTCAATGTTAATGGATTTTGATGTGAATTATTATTATATGAGTCAAATATAACGTTGTTTTAGAATTTTAATAATTTAAATTAAAAGTTGTATATGTGTTTTTATTAGTAATATAATGTCAAGAATCACCAAAACCCCTAGCTTTGGTAATCAAAATGAATTGAAAAGAAAGTTCTTGCATTCTATTTTATCTTCCAAAAACCTTAAGTTTCCATTACGAACACTAGTTTTGGAAAGCCCTTATCCTAATCTTCTATTTGGTGCGTTCAATCTTAAGTTTGAAGCTTGGTAACAAAGATCTTGGGATCTTGCTAGTGGTTAGGGTGCCACTCATTCTCCCTAAGTCTGCAGGTTAAATCTCTTTCAATGCCATTCTTTTTCAATTTATTGTCATCATTGATTGGAGTGAGAAATTGTTGAATCAAATAAATTAAAATTTAAAAATTCTTCAATCAGATGGTAACACGTACCGTCATCTAATCAGAGGATTAAATTTATTTAATTAAATTAAAATTAGAACCAAATTGACAGAATGTTTGAGTAACGAGAGTCAAATGTATAATTACATCAATTTTGTGAACTGTCATGTTAGCTCCTTCATCAAATGTTAACGACAAATAGCTTGATTGACATTATTTTAATAGTTAAGTGGTTTGATTGACAAAAATAAAAGATCAACGATCAAATTAAAATCCATGCATAGTTAAGTGGTGATTATTTTTACCCTAAAACATTATAAATCTTGAATTACTTTCAAAAAGCCCAAACACTTGGTAAAAGCTCCGGAATTGGCCAAGTTGTCGGCCTCAATGAGCCATCCAATTACCGATTCCAACCAATGAATTTTTTATTGTCCTTTCAAATGGGATATAGTTGACACTTGAAAGATCTGGGCAACATGACATGTTTCGTGTGTATAAATTAAATTGTTTAGTAGCAATTCTTTAGTTTTGATTTTAGTTACAAGTAATAGCAAATTGTAGCGATGATTGTGATATATAAATTACAATATCAACACTTGAAATCTCAAGGCAGTATTATTATATACCAAAAATAATATTTAATACATCATTGGTGTATAAATTTCATATATTTCTAATGAACTACATCAAACCACATTATTAAAGAGCCATATAAAATATTTTTAGAGAATTTATAAGTAAATCTGTTTACATTTTAATTAGATTTAAATAAACTTATTAATACATATTTATAAATTGTCCAAAAAAAATTTATTTTATTTTATTTTTTGATAATATGATTTGACCAAAAATATATAAAATTTTGCAAGCATAAATCTAATAATCCAGGAGACCTCTCGCCACAAGTAATTAAGTTGACAAAAAAGGATTTCAAATTTAAAACTTGTTTCAAAGTTATATTATGTGGCTTCCTTAAACTGTTGTCATGTTTATCCCATATCTACTGTTTTTAAATTAAAAATTGATTTTAAATAATCTTTAATCATTTGAAAAATCATATTTGATCCTTAATTTTATAAAAATAGTTGAAAATTTATCTTTCAAATAAATTATTCATTAAAACATTATACTTTTAACGTATTAGTGTGAAAATTCACATGCATTTTATGTTAATTTTTTAACATTTTGTGTATTTTTAAATTATTTTTTAATATTTTTATCATGTTAAATTATTTATTTACTTGTTATAAAAAAATAGTATCATATGAACATGAAAACACATGTACAGTCATGTAAGATGTCACATCAATATCATGAAAATTTAATATTTTAATCATTATTTAAAAAAAAATAAGTATCAAATTTAGTTAGAAAAATAAAAATAAAATGTATAAATACTATGTGCTAAAACACCATTAAAAATTAGTTAACCTGGTTTGTGGAGAGAAATTAATTTGTTTAATTTAAACTTTTAAATTTTAATTTCATGAAGCTAGATCCGTTGTTCTTCCAATTTAAAAATTAAAATTCGATAGATAATATTATTAAATGACTTTGATATTGGAATATTAAAATTTTGCATATTTAAATTAATAAAATTTCATTTAGATAGCATTTGAGAAAGTGAATTTGAGTTCCAAATAATGTAAGTTGAGTAAAAAATATTTGAAAATGTAATATTGATGATAATTTTTCAAATTATTAGATTTACTTATATTGTAATAATGCTAAAATTCATAGTTTATACTTTATATTTGAATTTAATAAATCTAAATTTCTATACTTTTCTAACGTATAGATCTCATTTTTTGATTTGATTCGTAGATAAAATATACAACTTAATTCTCCTCCTCCCCGCCTTCTTTTTTTTCCTTTAGAGTTTATATCGTTTTCTATAGATCATATCAACTCTTTCTTTCTTTGATTTTGTTTAGCCGACGGCGACATCAATTTTGTTGCTGGTTGTCGACCGCCGGTTCTCTTCTCTTTTTATTTTTTTTAGTTTTTTATAAGAATAATTCTATGTTTATAGCATGTTTATTTCTGTCTTTATAACACGTTTATTTCTTCCTTTATAGTACGTTTTTTATTCGTTTGGCCATTATTTTTATTTTATGTTTTCTCAGGGTTGGATTTTACGACGTCACGACTGATCAAGATGACGCTTATTTGTAATCCAGTTGATCTTCCCTATTATGGACCCTTAGATTGAATTTGGATACGCGATTTTGCGATCGTGGATAATTTCTCACAACGCTCGGCTCTGATTTGCGGTTCTCGGTGATCTTTCAATAGCTTAATCCTCTCTTGTGGTTTGTTTGTCGATGCAGTCAAATTGCTTGTATCTATTTTTTGTTCGAATATTTTGGTTGGATTTTAAACCTTTTCTATGTATGTCCTTATATGATATAAAGTACTTAGTTTTAATGTTAGAAAAATGTTCAAATTATATATTTAATTTACGATACTAATTGTAAACTTTTATTCTAATCTTGAATATTCACTTTTTAATAACACTAGTGGCTTCTATTATATATATATATATATATATAACTTAATTGTAATCTTAACAAACATTATAATATAAAATTCAGAAAATATAATTTCAATTATCAAATTTACAAAAATCATAAACAACAAACCTAAACAAACTATGATTCAATGATGATACTCTACACTTGATATCCTTTAATCTTTTTTGTTAATTTAATCAAACATTTAATCCAAAAAATGGATAAATAAAATTTTTGTCTAGCAATCTTTAACCAATTATTTTGTTCATAAATTCATGTCCGAAGACAAACTAGGAGGACTCACTCGGAGGGTACCCTATACCATGGCGGCTGTTAGGGAAAGCCATGAAAACGGTACCGGAAATCACTCCGATAACCGGCGGCAAACTCACGAGCAAAGCCTTATCGGTCGATTCAAAAGACGGATAAAAACATCGTACGGTGTTGATATCCAACAAAGACAAGGCAGCAAAGACAATGATTGAAAAAAAGGCATGAATAAAGTCACCAATCCTCAGTTTGTACGTTGACAAGTTAACCGATCCCGAACCCGAAAACAGCCAGAGACCTTTAACGGTAGCGATACCGTACTGAACTAAGCCATCGGTGCCTTTGTAACTATCGGTGAAACAAGAGAAAGCACAAGAGAAGCCACAAAGGGAAATGAGGATGCTGGTGAAGACCTTGTTCACAGGGCTGCACTGTCCATTGTTGGTCAAGACAGGGTTGAGGAACTGGAAGATGAAGACGGTCGCCGTCGGGAGGAGCTTGACGAAGTTGCCGAAACCGGAAAATGTTTTGCCTGAGATTGAGGAGGAAGAAGTGTTGGAATTAGCCATTTTTGGAATTGAAAAAAGGTTAGAAAATTAGAAGAAGAAAATGAGGGGTGTGGGTGAATATTTTTGGCAAAGTTTGAGTATTTATAAAGACAAGTTTGTGGAGGGAAGTTAGAGAGGGATGCTTGTACGTAAAATTAGTGTAGTGACCAAGTAGAATGATTTTGCTTTCACTCTTCGAAACCTTTCCCTCTCTCTCTACTTCAACCTCCAACTCTCTTTTAGGTCCATCTTCTCTCTACTTCAAACAATTTCACACGACAAGAAGAACCAGGTAAGTTATAAGGGTAGAAAATTCAACTCTATTTGAAAAAATTAAATATTTTGAATTTGATTTAATTTTAATAAAATAAAACTCATCAACTCGAATAATTAAAAAAAATATTCGAGTCAACCTAACTCGATCGAATCACCCATGGTAAATTTATCCCACTAATTACCGACTATTAAGATTTAAAAAAAAATATTTAATTTAGTTATAAGTAGGATGGATAAAGGGATGTTAGTTAAGGATTCTCGGTCATAAACTTTGTAATCTTTTATCTAAGACAACATATAATTAGTTCGATAGAGTTTCCTTAATTAAGAGAATATTTTGTAATCACAATCCCTTGATTGGTGGGATTTAGGAGATTATATTCGATCTAGGCTGTCGATGTACTTAGATCTTAGCCGTGCATTGAGGGGAGCTTCCACTATAAATAGAGGTCTCTCCTACTTATTTGTACTCACTTCATTTTGAAAAATCACATAGCATTCTCTCAAAGTTCTCTTGTCTTTCTTTTGTGATAGTTCTCTTGTTCTTTGCTTCCGTTGAGAATCTAAGCATCTTTGCTTGGGTTGTTTTCAGGCTGACTTAGCCGCAATCACAGAACCTTATAAAATTTTGTAATTTCTCACCCATAAATTTTTAATAATTTTTTAAGATTCTTACCATAAACACAAAACCTTACATCCGTCCCCATATCAAAATTTAAAATTTTTAATCACTCCCAACAAAAATTAAACCGAAAAATTTTGATTGCTAAGTCAAATTTAAAAAATAAAACATCTAGGAAAAAATTAGGTAAAATAATTACTAATATTTTTTATTAATTTAAGATAAGTATAAAGTAATATATGTTCAAAGAATACTCAATCGTTTGACATTGAATGTTCAGACTCGGGTATTCATAGTGCTCGAGTTTGAGATCTCAAAGAATAACAATTTATTTACTACCGAAGTCACTTAGTTTGTGCATTAATGACTAATATTAGTATTTGATAAATGAATGTATAATATAATTATATTTAAGACTACTACAAAATAAGTACATGAAATAAATTTCAATAATCAAGTCATAATTTTTTTACAATTATCCATGATACTTTTCAATGCGTTTAAAGTTTAAAACAAATAAATATAAACCAAAAATTCACAAAAGTTTTAATGAAGCTAATAAACTACTAGTATTTTTGTTGTCAAAAAAAACCTACTCGTATTTTTTCATAACAATAAATATCACTTAAACTGCTTTTGTTGTCATGAGAACACAATAAAAATCACACTAATAGTAATAACTTTTAAAAAATTTCAAATTTTTAATAGTTTGGGTGATTATAATATAGTATTTGTTGAGAAAAATATTTAACCACTAACAATATGCATACACACCCTGCTAGAACCCAAGACTTCAAGAGAGAATAACACTCTTTTCGACTACTGAGAATATTTGATAAGTTATAAAATGTTAAATTTCTGGTTAATATTCAAGAATTTTAAGATTACAACTCGTTCTTCTTTGTTTTCTTATGCATGTTTGTTGCTGGCGTGGAGGTGCATGGGTCGATTGATGGGGTTTGAATCGAATGAGGACCACTGTTGCTAATGTTGTTATGGAAAGAAAGGGGCTTGCTGGCTGCTGTCTTGGAAAGGAGACCACTAAAGTGCTGTTAAGACCACCGGAATCTGAGGAGGCAGGCGACAACTATAGTTTCTTGGTTCTAGCTAGGGTTTCTTTAAACGATATGGGCTGATTGGATTATGTCATTTGGGCTTAGGGTTTAGAATTGTATTTGGGTTCATGTTGGGTTTGTAATTGGGACATTTGGTATTTAAAATTGGTTTTATTTATTTATAATAGTAATAATGATTATAATAATAAAATAATGGCTTAAGGGTCACTGTTGCCCTTGTGGTAGACATAATTTATCAATTTCACTCCTATCGTACTTTTGTATCAATTTAGCTCTCGAAGTTGTTTAATTACATCATTTTATATCGTTGACTGTTTTGAATAATATAACCATTAGTTTCTGCTTATGTGGATGATAGTTGTTTCCACCTTAGATAGAATTATTGAAATGGAATTTATTTAAAAAAATAAATATTAAAATATTTTTTAAATATTCAATCCCCAAGATTTTCAGGTATCTTCATTGATCGGTCATCGGTGACCACCCCGCCGACCACCAACGTTGGTCACCGATCAAGACCAAACTTCACCAATTGACTCGCTTCGACCTCTTGATCATATATGTGAAGTCCGTTTCCCCAAATCGTTATCGTTTCTTGTAGATCTCGAAAAAATTTCTCAGCTCCTTCAAAGTAAAACTCCTTCATTCGTCGTCGCTAACTATCTTATGCTGTTGATTTCGAGATATGTCATCCTCACCGTCAAGGGGAACATCTTCACTATGGGAATCTTCCAACTGACATGTAACATTCTCAATACCGGGTTAGTGACTAAATTGTAAAGTTTCAGAATTTGGTGATTAAAGTAGAATAATTGAATAGCTCAATGACTGATATGAAAAATGTTGTGTAGGATCAAATTTCAAAGAAGAAGGAATAGAAGGACAAAATGGTCATTTTGATAGTAAAATAATTAAATTGAAGAATGGTTATATATTGGCCACACATGGATGTGAAAGAAGCAAAAGTAAGCTTCCAGAGTTCTCTTCTTCTATTTTTTTCTCCACACATGAAGACTCAAAGCAAAGGTGAGATCTCTCATGAGCTGATTATTATCTGAAATTTAAGTTTGGTTTTGATCATTAGATGTTAATTAAGCTTAAGGAAAGTTTAATTTGCTTTAAAATAACAAGATGAAGGGTGTAGGAAGAATTAAAGATTAGGAGTTTTTGAATGAAATTTTGAAATAAAGTTCATAATTAAAATTGGAAGTTAGATTTGACTTGTCATCAATCTAAATGAGGAATATGAAGTATTAGAATGAGATTTAGAACATGTTGATATTTGCGTATGATTCTTGAATGCCATATAAAGGATAGGATTTTGAGGTTAAAGAAGTGATTATTAAGTAGAAATGAGTGTAAGTATGTGTATGAAAGTTAAGAATATTAAAGGAGGTGAAATATGAAGTGTTGAGCTGAAATTGAAGTGATTTTGAGCTCAAAATGTAATTTATGGGTTGTGTGCATCGATATACATTTAATGTATACCGATGCACTCTCAACGGAATAAAAACATCAAATGCAATTAGTGCATCGATGTATAGGGAGTGCATCGATACACCCCTTAAGATGAAAACATCGAATGCGATTTGTGCACTGATGCATAGGTAGTGCATCGATGCACACATTAAGGGATGCATCGATACACTATAGAGTGCATCGATACCTACCTTGTTTAAGAGATGAAAGTAGTCTTCCTTTTAGTCTAAGAAGTGATAGATAATAATAAATTAATTAGTATATTGATATGTATCAATGTATTACTATGTAGATATAAAACGTAATCTTGTTCCGGAACAATCAAAGAAGTAGGATCAAGTCAAAGCAAGTAAAGTTAAGGTGAGTGCATATCCTCGGTAGAGTTGTATGGAGATAAGACTTGCGATAAGTTTATCTCTTATAATTGAATTTATGATTTTACATTCATGTACATGCATATATATATTATTATTGTTATAGTGATTTTATGCATAATTCATCTATGCTTTAATATGTAATTATACGAATGAATTCAATGATACGAGAATAAATCCAGGTAAGTGAAATAATGGAAGTGATCATATGTATGCATGTCAAGTAAATTAAGTATTTATATGAAAAGAGATTAAAGATATATGAAATGAGAAATGTATTAATATTTAAGCCCATGTTATTTAATATGAGAACTGTAGGTATAATTGGCATGCCAAGAGTCGAGGGATTATCAGTGGTCATTCGAGACATAGTGGTCATTCGGGACAAATATTCAGTGCCCCTAGTGGGAATTATTCAAGATGTGGTGACAGCATTGTGCACAACCTCAGTGTACTCATATACCTCATGTTGTCATTAATGTACATGGGCAATCCAAAGATAAATTAAAGTGAAACCGACGTAAGAATATAAGTTTCATAAGTGCATGTCATAATCATATATGTTATTGTGTAATAGATGAATGCAAGTTGAAATGTCATGATTAAATGGTAAGAATGAATGTTCAAGAATTCATTGTTATATCTATATATTTATATTATGCCTCACTAAGTCTATGACTTAGCATGTAAGTGATTTACACGTAGGTACCAAGAATCAGGAAGAGCCGAAATAGGAGTGGTAAGGACAATATCACTACTACAAGATCAGATCAGAAATAATTGAAAAAATATGTATTTTGTTATGTATAGTGTGTTGGCATGTAAGAAATGTGTTAGTTATTAATGCTCTGATCGATTTTGTATTGTCTTGGTCAAACTTTTGTAAGTCAACATCTGTTATGGTAATGAAAGTTCAAATTTTCCTTTATTTTCATTAAGTGTCAAAGTTGAAAAGTAAATGTGACACCTCAAACTCGAATCCGGGAAAGGTGCGGGTTGGGGGTGTGACATTTAATGGTATCATAGCTATGGTTTAGTCGATGCTTGGCATAAACCGAAGTCTAGAGTGTCTTAAAATGTGTACATGTCAACAAAATAGTGAAAACTTCTGATCTGATAAAATATTAAGTATGTTGTTTTTCTAATAGAACGATATGGGTATGTTTTTATACATGTCCGGACATGGTAGCTCTAGAAGTGAAGCAGGAGACGATAGGCCTGCTGAAAGCAGTAATTCACCTACCCTGGCCAGGCAGA